TTTTCTTTGCATTCAAAACACGCACATAGTGAAATTTGTACATACATAATGAAAAGAATTCCGCGACCACTGATTTTGCTATGCCCATGTTAAAGATTATAGTGCCTTTCTTAAGACCTAAATAGAAGTTGGGACAAAGCCATTGTAAGTACATGCAAAGGAAAATTAAAACAGCAAACAAATCTCATAGGAGGACAAAGAGACTCCCCTCCAACTAATTATTTATGTTGATATCAAATGGTACAAAAACACTAACTGGGCCCAAAAATGGAAAAATACAACCAAAAAAAATAAATTAACTCATTAACTAATAATAAGTAAATGCATTTTTATAGCACATATCCCTAATCAGGAGGCTGAAAATAATACAGTATATTTTGTAAATACCCTGATAGGCACCATACATTCTAAAATTCAAGAAGATGTTGTATCCTGGGATGCACCATCATAGGCTGATATTTTTCAGCATCCCAAATACATAATATGAGAAGTATGGTTTCTGTTTACATAATGCCACACAGAACCAAATAACAAGCTGGCCATTTTAAAGAAAAGCTCCTTGCCCCTCCAATAATAATTTGCGTCCAACTCATGTTCCTACTGAGGTATATATATATAGGAGACCAGATCATAGAGTCACGGACAGGAGGTAAAATGAACAAAGCACAAAAGCAACAATGAACTGGAATTTAAAAAATACTGAGCAAATATAAATCAAGAAAAATAATGCTTTGACTTTGCTCAACCAATCTATTTCATAGAATCATATTTGTAGATAACTTTGAGCATAAAAAAAGAGAATTGTCAGTGCGTGAATGTATCAGACCTATCAAGCACTCCATGACTGCAAATATAAAGTTTTCCTCAAAACATTCCCAAAATGTAGGAGTTTGTAAAAAAGAAAAAAAACCTGTGGTCTTCTTCTTAACCCCAGTAGATTCAGATCACATAACAAACCGACCAATACAAATAAACGTACATTGCAAAAGCACACAAATAAACACAAACAAAAATTAGTACTTTTGTGTTATTTATGATAAATTGCATCTGAACGGACACAATCTGAATGCAAGAAAAAATATCAATCTGCTGCAAATCTGTTAGGGGTATTTTTATGGGGGGAAAAAATTAAAGAGCTTTAATTTTATCGGAGTACTTGACAGGACTGGCACACTTGCATTCAAACGGTTGTAATCCTCCTGAGTAGTAGGAACCTGACTGAAAACTTTGGACTTGCTTAATATTTATCTTGTTTTTATAGATAACTGCAATTCCAACACAATTTCAACTATCGTGCCAGAACCCGTCTGCTGGGACATTTCAGCAACCCACTTAAAGCACTTTTTAAGGACCCCAGGGCAAGTGTTGAGTTCCTGCATGCTGTCGGCATCGCTGACCGTTTATGACGCCACAGCGCTAAAACCATCAGGAAGTTTTGAAAGTGCTTAAATCAATTAGCCCCTCTTCCTCAAGCCCCCCCTCCCAAATAAAAACAACCAAAAAGAAAAAAAAATTCAATTTTCCCCCTCCTCCCACCCCCCACAAGAACAAATGTATTTTTAAATATTCATAAAGAAATGACTGAACTAACTCTGAGACACGGACACCAAAACCAGCACTCAGAAGTAGAATTTTTTTTAAATCACACTGCCATAGTTACTCAAATGTAAGAAAATAACAGTAAAGTTACTGAGGTGTAAACCTTACATCCATCATCCAGTTGTTCACAAATATCAATATCAACCATCTGTAGGCATAGTGGTAATTAAGTCATCAGATTTGCTCCTCTTTGCCTCTAGACCACGCTCTTCAATCATGATCAGTTTCAGGACATCTGGGAATGAACCCAACGTTGCAGTCGTAAACCGTGATGAAAGTCTTAGATGCCTGAAAGAGCAGAAGAAAACAATTTTTAAAAATGATATAGGTGCAGTGAGACTCTGGCATAACACTGAAAAAAAAACCCACCATTCCAAAAGAGACAAAAAGAAAACAAATATTGACCTTTCATCCTCACCAACTAATGCATTTCTATGTTGAAAACTTTTCTTCTAGTCTACAGATCATCGCAACATAATTTGATGCCACAACCACCAGAAAAATAGATAATATAAATACTACAAGTCAAGAAGACCAAAAAAATAAATAAAATCCCCTATTTTTAAATTGTACAAAAAAATTCATTTTACAGCAGAGGCCTCATTCTCAAATTACTCATGGGCCACTGGAGGTAGAGTTTGGGTGAGCCTCGGTCCCATTAAGTATTCCACAAATAAGAGAGGTTTAAAGTTTTTTAAAAAAGTAAAACTTATATAATCTTCTCAATCTTTATTCACAGCAGTTCAGAATATGAAAGATTTTTCAGCATTCAGAGCATAGACCTCTCTTATATCTACTCATTGCTGCCAGAGACCTGACAGCACTTCCATTAACATAGCTCAACCACATTTAGCTTGAGGGAGGAAGCAAGTGAGAAACTGAGTATGGTTTTACGACGTTCCATCAGCAATTTTAGATCTGTATATTGACTCCTCAAATTTCAAGGCGGAGAAGAGTTTTTCACACAGATATGCACTACTTAAACTAAAAAAGACCTATCAGAAATCCGACGCTTGAACATCCTGAAAAGTTCTGTGAAGGTGGGGGATGACTCTCTAAAAAATTGACAAAGTTTAAGCAGCACTGACATAAAACATTGATAGAAAAAACGGGCCCCAAAAAATCGGCTTGTTGGCCTCAACTGGTCCACAGGCTGAGAGTTTGTTTGTTTTAGTAAAGTGTTTTACGGCGCTCGCAACTGCATAGGTCATATGAGCGCGCGGGACACTCCTAATATTTTCAGTTGGTAGGAAATTTTGAATTTTGCGCGGGTGGCGGCCGAAGCCTACTCTTATCGATTTTAGACCACCAAGGGGTCTTTAACGTGCGCAACTTGCACACGGGCCCTCCGAGATTTTTCGCCCTTGTCCGAGAAGGCTAGGTGTAGATCTTTCCTACCAGAAGATCAGGGGTGTGGCAGAAAGACAGCAGTAAGGAGGAGCCAAGGAGTAGCAGTAGAAAGGCTGCAGAAAGAGTCAGGAGCCCAGAGGAGGGGGCATAGGAGGTGAGGCGTTGGGGGCAGAAAGTGGAAATGAAAGCAGACAACAGAACATTGCTAGAGAGCAGGAAAGGAGGTGAAAGGAGACAATTTTAGAGAAGAAAATTTTTTGGTCGCTACCCGGAATCGAACCCGGGACCTTTGAATGAGAGGCCAACACCTTAACCTCTAGGCCACGAGAGCCCCCGCTGAGAGTTTGAGATTCTTATTTTATGGTGACAATCTCCGAGTCATTTTTATCTTTGGGGGGGGGGGGGGGGGCCTGCACCTGAAGGCTATCTCTCTTATTAGAGGACCAAATTTTACCATATTTCACACATAAGATAACAAGCATAGTAAGGAGTCTTAAAATCCGCAATCAAATTTGAGAAAAAAGTTTTGTTTCCACAGATACGGCAGCCACATTTCATTTTGTTGACATGTCTTGCGTAATGAATACCACTCTTATCATTAATGGAAATTTTTTTTTTTTTTTGCATGCATGTTAGCAAACATGAGATCTAAAATTTTTCTGTGGATTTTTTTCTTTAACGAATAAGAAAATTTTTTATAATTTTTTTTCTGAGGTATTAATCAAGTTTTTCTGAAAATCCACACTCCAGACACCACCAACAAAAATCTATTCAATATATCAAAAGTTCAACAAAAAGTTTTTAGTATTACATCTTCTCTTCATTCTGTGAAAATTTCATGAAGATTCGATGAAAAATGGTGGAGTTATTCAAAAAAGTATAGAGAAAAATCGCGTTTTGAGAAAACGGTCGATAAAGAAAAAGAAAATATTGACTTTATGATGAAATGGTGGTGACAAACATGCCCCATACGGGAAGAAATAAGGCTTTGGGGGTTCTGAGGAAGCTAAAAACACCTACAACTCAAATTCCAAAATTTTGAGCCAAATCGGGATTTTGGGGGATGTAGCCCCTCCCCCCCTTAACACCATTATGTTAATCTAATAATCACTTTCATTAAAAGAAAAGTTGACCAGATTAAACAATTGTAGTTGTACAAACCTTGTTATTTCTCAAAACTGCATCAACATACAGGGCATCAACAAAGTGATGTCTGGGAGGTTTGTATTACTTCAAAGAAGACTCACACAAATTCATGGTACTTCCCTTAGCAAGCCCTACATTCCAGATAACCGTGCCTCAGAGTGCATACAAATAGTAGCCATTTCCAACGTACTCAAAAACAATAAACTTAGATTCGTCTCTTCTGATAGTCAAATATCTATTTTCAGCTGGGTGAATTTAGAAAAGTTCATGTACAATGTAAATACAAAGCCAATTAGCTACTAGAAACAGACATAAATCTATACAGACTTTGGTACTGGAACAGCCATCTAAAACGGGTCCCCACAGGATACAGAAGTTTTGAACACTTTGCAGTCACACAGCCAGCAGTACAAAATACCCCATCTGATCACCCAGCCAGGAGAACGACTGCAATGGACTTCTCGGGCCTGGCACAGAAGTGCACCAGGTGACCGGAACAGATAATTTTCACCGGCGCAATGCAACTGCAAAGTGCTAAAAAAGGTGAACTGTAAACTTTTAATTATGCAGAGGAAATGACTCACCTTTCCAAGTAGATGAGAACCAGCCAGACACCTGAGACAAGGAACATGTTAGACCACGGGGATGGCAGACAGAGGAGAGTCCATCCTACCAGGAAAGCAGAAGTGTTTATCAGCGAACTCAGCAGCTGACACACCGCTAACCAGGCACCGATTTGCTTCCATCTGTACAAACATGTCAGTCCTAAGTGGAGCCAGAAGCATGAGTTGAGCAGCAAAAATGGCCATGAATTCACTGAAAAGGGAAAAAAATGTATACTTTAGTCATAAAAAGTTAAAATTTGAGAATGATATCAAAGCTTGACATTTGGAAAAATTACATACATTCAGAAACCTCATTCAAAATATACGTCACATTGTGAATATGATATTTTATTAGGGACCTTACTACTTGAGTACTCTAAATAAACAAAAGTTGATAAAACTTCTGCTTTATGTTTAAAAAACCAGTATCAGGCAGTTCCATGCACAAAAACTTGCCCATGGATAAAGTTAGACAATTTAGAAAGTTTTTCCATAAAAACTTCACTTTTAAGAGGCATGTGTGTAATTCTACTGTATAATGATAACCACCTTTAACAAGAATAAAAGTCTCATAAATATTACAAATATAATTTCACTCAGTCATTATTTTATGACCACAAATTTACTAGAGCAGACCTGCCAACCACCACCCCATGACCAAAAAGAGGAGTTTTCCTCAGAACCCTCCCTCAAAATCAGAGTTTGGGGAAAAATTAGTCTTCAGAACCTCTGTAGATTCAGATTACGTAACGAACTGATCGTGAAAAGCATAGATGAATTGCAAACACACATATATAAAAGCAATTAAAAATGTGTTTTCAAGTTATTTACAATAAGGCGTGCAAATATTGTAAATAAATGCAAATAAACGTGAGACTTTACACCAGCCAGTTGAACAAACACACTAAAACCTTGAGCTGGGAGCAACCCAAATAAAACCTTTTTTTTTCAATGTAGATATTTTTACACCCCCATTGACACAATTTAGAATAATCAGGAGAACGGTGTTGACCCTGCCTGTCAGGCTGAGAGGGATACAACATCTTGACAGAAAGTCCAAGATCCTTGATAAAAATTCTCCTCACTCGGAAATCCAGCTTGGGTCTCCTGCATGCGACAGCGAAGAGCCTAACCGCTACACCACTGACAAAGGTCACAGCAACCAAGCCCTGGTGCAGATGTTGTAGACAAGTTATCCCCAAGAAGGTTATTTTTACTATTTAGGGAAAATGGGACATGAGCTTTACACATGGAAGCCAAAAACATGAACAATTCAGTGACAGAAATTTTACCTGTCAGAGCAAAGGCAGAGAAACTGCTGGTGTACGCAAACACATCAATGGAGCTTTTCACTGTGCTCGTCACATGCATGAGGTCACAGATGACCAATGTCCAGTAGAACACTGGCTCATACAGCAAAGAGACGGCACTGTACAGGCGAGACTGTTGGAAGACAAAGGTGTCAGCAATTCATAATTTTATTACTATCTTAAACACCTTAGAAGGACCTCAACCAATATTTTGCGCTTTGAAATTGACTATCAGGTTCATTACATACTGTTCTGAGGAAGAGTTATCTGTCAAAGACACATATATATGATAAATGTTTTCTTCATACAAACTTGAAATTCAAATCATTACAAAAAAGAGCAAGACTAACAAAGACCCAATCCTTGGAAGAAGCAGAAATAATACATTCACACAGATCTATAGTGGACTGCTCCCTGTAAACCAACTATTTGGGATTTTACTTTGATCTTAAATGAATTAATGTACATGCTTCTCATTTTTCTCCTTTTCCAAAAACTACTCATCATAAAGAATCAAAGGTCAAGGTTAATTCCACTTGACAACGGATGAACAGATTTCATTTCCAATCTCTAACAGCATCAACATAACATGTAATAATTCATATTGTATGTAGTGGAGTCCGCTTAAACCGAAATCTGCCGGACCACCTAATTTTCTACAGTTTAGCCGGGTTCACAGATTAGAAGGGTTGCTCACACAGAAGAAAAAAATAGGGTATTTTATTTTCTTTCCGTTATCCTCTCCTTTCGGATTAACCATAAGCAGTTAAAGCAGATTCCACTGTACACGAAACTAAGAAACACACACGTACATCTGTATCTAGCCGTTTCCAGTAGGGAAACAGCACTGGTGGCCTCACAGTGCCCATTCCCAAGTTCAATCGACTTTTGTTGTGGCCATGATGCACAAACTGGCCAGCGCTGAGGTAGTGGGCACTGTCAGAGTTCAATCTGATCACGGGGGCGCCACTGGATCCACCACAGGTCGGGGCATCATATAACGCTGGAGTAACACCCATCAGACGGGTCATCCTAGAAAGAAGAGAGAATACTGTTGAACACTTAAGATATTTTCAGAGTTCTAAAGTGAGGCAGTAAGGTATTTATTTTATATATCCTAGTCCTATCAAACATCTATCGTCCTTATCTCCCCTCCTTCTTTTTTGTGTTTGTTACTCTCTTGTAACACCACTAATCTTCTGGCGCTCATATGACCTTATGCAGTTGCGAATGCCGTAAAACTCTTACTAAAACTAAATATATCCTAGCTTTCATAGATTAAGAAGATTTACAGAAAAGACAATTATTGCATTTTTATGAAATATGTTCAAGAAGGGCCCGGGGAAACAAATCCCCAATATAGATATAGTAAGTTACAGAAATTAACAGCATTAAACTGTGGAACAAAGATTATGCAAAAACAGAAAGTGAGAAGGGTAACTTTTGGTGTCTGTAATCCTGGTCCTATCGCAGGGCCCTTGCTTCCCTTGTATAACTTCACAATCAATACCCTTAGGGGGAAAAAAAGTTATTTTTCTTGTGTTTTTTTCTGATATGTCCTAGTGTCTCTTGCATTCAGTGTTTAAGCAGACCCATACTGTTCTGACCAGAAATGTTCAGTTTTGTGTATGGGTCAAATTATAACTTGGCCAGAACAGCTCACCAACGTAACCCAAGGTACTTTTTATGATTTCAGCTTTCAAGAGTCAAAGTACAAAGCAGCCAAGACACTTGTAACAACACTGATTTTATCAAAGTTAGATTACTGTAATGCTATTTTGTCCGGTTTGTAAGCCGAAAAACTATCAAAGTTACAAGTACTCCAAAATCAAGCAGCAAAATTGATAATGAAACAAAAGAAATCAGCGCATGTAACACCAATTCTGAAAGAACTACACTGGCTGCCAATAAAAGAAAGGATCAAATACAAAACTGCTGTTCTCTGTTTTAAATGTATAAATGATAGAGCACCTTTTTATCTTGAAACATTCCTGGAATTATATCTATATCATCCACCTAGAGCCCTTAGATCAGCCTCTGATAATCTAATTCTTAAAATTCCAAAACAAAATTACGAAACATATGGCGAGCGTTCCTTTTTATTCTTTGGTCCCCAGATATGGAACGAACTCCCTTAGAAAATAAGATCTGCCACAACAATTTCCATTTTCAAAAATCAGCTGAAGCATTTTATATTCACAAAAGCATACCTGTCATAATGATGTACTGTGATATATATATATATATATATATATATATATATATATATATGTGAGGCAGCATGGTGGAATCAGGCTCTCTTCAAAATAATCAAAGTGAAGAAACTTGCATTTTTCCGCGGGTTTGTGAATTTTTATCGAATTTTTGTTTTTTGGCTGAACACCTTTCTTGCTTATTAAAGAACTCATTTCTGTGTAAATTTTTTCTAAAAAACGTTGATTAAAGGCACAAGGAATGTAAATTTTCAGTTACCACGGACTCTTAAGCTAAGGAAATAACTAATCTTTGGAGGCCATTTTCTCACTAATTTTACCTCTGAAAACAGGTGACCCCCACCTCCTTCTTTCGCAAATATCTTGACTTGTATTTAAGACAAAAGGATTTTTTTTTTTCATCCCAATAAAGACAAGTGAAAAAGCTTTAAGATGATACCAATAACTCTACATGCCCAAAAATTGACAAGAGCCTGATTCCGCTACACTGCCTCACATATATATATGCATGTGTATGCCAGACTGAGATTGAAGAAATAGTGTGTGAGAATGAGAGAAAGAGAAAGAGAAAGAGAGAGAGAGAGAGAGAGAGAAAGAGAGAGAGAGATAAAAAGAGAAAAGAGAGAGAGACAGAGAGAAAGAGAGAGAGAGATAGTGAGAGAGAGAACGGAAATGTTTTTCTGTCTGTATAGAATTAATGTTTTAATGAATGTTTCTAGTTACACACGTTTCAACTTTATTGAGACCGTTCGTGAATTTTTATTGCATTGTATATTTTTAGTGAACACATTTCCAACCTCACTGCGAGACTGTTTTTTCTCTTATAAATTTTTACACATATCATGTATAATACTTTGTTTTACGTACACGCATGTCGATTAATTTCTAAGATGTGATGTCTTTTTCGTTGTAATGCGCATTGAGCATTTTTTAGAAAATGGAAATGTGCAGTATAAATGCTATTTATTATTATTACTTTTTATGATTTCAGCTTTCAAGTGTCAAAGAGCTTTTTATGCTTGCACAGTTCAATGTTTTATTCATTCTATTCTGAGAAGACTAGGAGCTAAATTCTAAGTCCTTGACAGAACAGGGTCAGCGAAAAATCACCCTTAAACCTGATGATCTTTAAGAAAACATAATCACTCTTTTAAGAGGAAAACAAAATTACATGGCAAACATTTTATTTTTGAAGGGAAGGCGGGCAAACTTATTGGGTAAGACTAAGCGGATGGTGGAACATCGCAATAAGAGACAGGTTTTATTTCGCGACTATTCCTCTGTACGTTATGTTTCATACCTTGCTTTTTCTCAAGAACAAATATTTGGTTCAGTCACCACCATTGTGGTTCTCTGTAACTTAAAGATGCCATTCACTACAGGTTACTAGTTTACTTACTTGCCAAATGAAATTTTCTTTGCCTCCCCATGGGGATGGCTAATGATGGCCACATCGATGTCTGGTCGTGACATCATGAATCGCCTCAAGCTGAAATTCCACCATGAACACGCTGACACTAGCAGAGACTGGTCTTGTAATGGAAACAGTTCATGTACTGGAAGCTCACAGGAGAAAACTGTGTAGTCACTGTCCATTACAGATCTAAAGTAGCGTGTACTGCCTCGGGTCAGAAACAGACCTCTACTCTGTGGACTTTGTGCCAAAAAGGAGGCGGGAAGTTGGTACCCAACTCTTCCAAGGATACGATCTTGCAAACTATTGATGCCAAGACTGGTGTAAATAGTTTCCTTTTCCTCATCATCATAAAACAAGCGCACAACAGTGTGCTTTGCTTCTAAAGGATCCCACACCACATGTTTGCTTGTGTGTACTAAGGCACCATTCTCCAGGTCAATGGTAAGGAAGCCAGACCCGTGGCGATGGACACTACAGGCCATCATTCTATCTGGGCTAAGCATGAGAACAGTGAGGCGAACCACATACTTTGACAGTACCTGAGTATGGAAAAAAAGCATGTTTGGTTGTAACGTAATACAAGTTTGAATTAAAAATTCTTCAGAGAAACAAAGACATTACTCCAAGTGGAAAATGGCAAAAGTGACAGTCGCCAGTTTCACCAAGCAATGTCCTACGGAACATACATTACACACATCCCTAAATAAGGATTTTGGTCAACTGTATACGATACCACTGACCTTCAAAAATGGTCTGAATCTCTGAGAAACTATTATATTGGAATAAACCGCCACCCTTCTAGTGACTCACTCACTATCAATTAATCAGTAGTAACTCCAGACATGAGTCCCCAAGAACAACATTTATAGTAGAGAGAGGTTTGAAAAACCTTAAAATTGTTTGACAATAAAGAGCTAAATTTCTTTTGAGAGAATAGCTTCCATACCAGAAAATTCCACTCTAAATCTTAAAGAACACAGAATCTTTCAAACATTAGGAAACTAAGGCAAATGGATTTCATTCCCAATCCTCCGCTATTGCATGAATTACAAACTTAAAGTATTTGAAAGGCTGGTAGATGTGGATCCTTTAGTCCAGAGATAGTTTCAAAGTTATCTTTTCATCTATAGCCCACTTCGAGTGCAAATTTTTTTTCCAGTAAATTCATATATGTATGCCCATTTGTCACCTGAAAATCTTGAAGCACCTTCTCATCTCGCCATTTATCAGGAAAATGATCAAGACAGAGATCAGTCACATCGCAGAATTGGGAATGATTCTCTGGCTTCTCACAAGGTGACATGATCCCCCCCTCAGGAATAATGGCTTCTGTCTCTGGTATGAAATCACGCTTCATAATGACAGAAACGGAAGACCAGACAGGAAAAACGAATGCCGGCTGTGAACATAAAAAACTGTGTTATGCAACTTATCAGAATGAGACGTGTTGCTGAAAACAATAATCTTCATCACTGAAAAAAAGGAAAGATTACATTACATGAAACATTTTTAAAAAACAATTATGAAGAAGAATTTCAATCTTTCAGCTGTATACTCTCCGCATATAGAAAAACAGATCAATCATCAAATGAAGAAAGTAATTAGTTAAGATGCCATCATCATATCGTCAATGTTGCAAGCAATTCACTTTAGTCCATATGTCTATTTTTACGCCAGAAACAAATGACTTGTTTTTGTTGTGTTGTTCCTGTCTGGAATAGTGGGAAACAAGAAAATTGTACGCCCTGACCACAGCACTGAATTACATTTTGGTGATGTTGAAAAGTGCATCTTTGATAGAGCTTTGGTTGGGTATAAAAATCGGAAAATTCTTAAAATGTGTGCATAGTTGGATTGCTTGCGACAGCGACAATATAATGAAGATGGTCATTGAGATGCCTACTCAAGTCAAATTGAAAAGCAGCAAAATTATTTAAATGTCCACTCTTCCTTTATAGGAATGCACACCAACAAAAGACACTTTAACCGACATCTCCCCTTTCGTTCACAGAAACAATGCACCATTGCATTGTTTTCTCCACCACGATTCATCTCTGTCAATGATGTGTCTATGGTTTGATGGACAAATAAAATCGTCCACCTGCTTCCCTTAAATCTTTTTGAAAAAAATTAAAACAGGAAGTATGAGTGTGAACAAATGTGAGGCAGCTTGGTGAAATCAGGTGCTCGTCAAAACAATGAAATCAAAGAAAACGGCATTTTACTGGGTGATGGGTAATTTTTTTTTAATTTTATATTTTTGGCTCAACACTTTTATGTCCTTTTAAAAACGCATTTCTGAGTAAATGTTACCAAAAACATTCATTTAAGGAACAAAAAAAAGTAAATTTCCAGTTTCTAAGGACTCTCAAGCTTTGGAGATTACCAAACTTTGGTGGCCGTTTTCTTGATAGTTTTACCTCTCACACCAGGCGACCCCACCACCTTCAATCACAAATATCTCGACTTCAATTCAAAACAGAAGGGTATTTTTTTTCGCCAAATGCAGGACAAGTAAACACAGTCTAAGATGGTATTAATAGCTCTATATGCCCAAAAAATTTACGAGCGCCTAATTACACCATGTCGTGACACAAATGCTCAAGTACAAGAGTAAATGAAGTGAAAAAGTATCTGGGAGCAAAGCCAAAGACTACAACTAACCATAAACAGACACGGTAATTATTTTTACTATCTGTGCAATACATATTTCCAACATTGTACCCACTTGTATTTCATCTATGTCATGCGAACGAAGTCAGGTAGAATTCACAACTATGCATCCCACCACTTATCCACAGCAGCATGACCTGTCATATTCACTGTCGTGTTCCACAACTTACAACTTATTAGTTTTTTTTATTAAATCACGCCAAGGTGATATCGCCCCCATCTAAACAATTCAGATCGTTTTATGAGGCGGATTTCAACCCTGGCTGACAAGGATAAAACATCCCAGTAGAATGGCCGATATACTCACAAAAAATTCCTCAGAGTTAGGAATCAAACTTAGGTCTCCTGCTTGCGACGGTAAAGCGCCTTAGAAACATTACCTACACTAAGTGGCAGTGAATGACCAAAATTTGGAAGGAGCTTAGGTTGCTTCTACTTCTTCTTTACCACCAAGTAGTAAGCAAAAAGAACAAAACAGTGATGATTTTTCTATACTCTCAGTGAGCCACGGCATTTTGAGGACCATTCATAAACGAGAAAAGTCACCTTTACTTTCTATCTCTTTGTTCTAAGTAATTCTTCTAGATGGTGCGGACGAAGCCGTTTCACATCCAAATATCGCTGATTAATTTTCATCTGATGAAAAAATTGCTTTAAAAGTGGTTCGATGCGATTTGTAACAGTTAAACATCAGCGGCACAAACACAAACACGCACACACAGCACTTCAAACATATTCCGTCTATGAGCTGTATTAGGCAGTGTAGTCGAGGAAAGTAGAAAGCACATATAACAAAGGTCCAATGAGCGTAGAGGTAACTGTCTCACTGGGGGAAAGTGTCGTAAACTTTCACCCCATTATGTCAGGGCTAGGAGAGCGTGAGCCCTCAGCACAGTGAGAGTAGTGTTCATTTTTCCAACTCTTCTACTTTTTTGCAAGCAGAGTTTCATTAAGGTAGGTCCGTGTTAACGGACTCGACCTTTGCTGAGTCCTAAAGACATTTGATTGGCCGTTAGGTTACTATAGTAGGCCTATTTGTAAGTGGTGACAACAGTGTTTTCGATATATAAGCAAGCCGCCAAGTTGATCACACAGTGTTCATTAGGTACGATCATAACGGTTTCAACTGCTTAATTTTTTAGATTAGAAACTTCCACTTACTTTGGGATACAGTTGGATACGCGCGCGCACGTTCGGAGAAATAGGACTTCAAGTTTATTTTCCCGAGCGTTCTGAGAAATAGAGCATCATGCCTTTTTTTTTAAAGATTTAAAACGAATCAAAAGGACTATTGCAATGAATTTATATCCTAATATCATTCAATAGGCCGCTGCTAAACTGAGCCTATTCAGATTCCAGATAGATCTAGGCCTAGATTCTAGATGAAGATGATAGTCAGATAGTGATAGAGCCCTACGACAGCTGCCTCCTACTATCACTGTCATAATCATACTTACTCCAACCCAAGAGTCGAGAAATGGGTAAAACAAGAAGTAGAAGCTGAGGGAAGAACAATGGTTTTAATAAGAGGCTGCACAAGGAACTACACGTACCAATGTAACACACGAGTGCGTGCCACACTTGCCGCTACAAGGTCACTCACAACATGGGGCCTGGTCTTATCACACAAAATTCCCGGGAAGGGTGAAGGGATTGGTTGTTATTAGTTGTTAATGGAATAATGGTATTCCGAATTCCGAAGGATCAGGGGAATTTACTCCCACCAACTCCATGTTCCAGCGGCCAGATTTTAACGGGTATGCAGGATAAAAATAAATAATGATCGACTGCATTCACGGCGTGATAACAATAAATGTTGCTTCCTATCTTTGTTCAATTTTGTGTCAATATAACCCTTAACATTTGTATTGAATGTTATGCATTGATTTGACTAAACTGATTACATTTTTGTTCTCTGAAATGTAAATGCCTACTGTTCCAAATATAACATATTTAGAGTTAACATTTGAAAACTAACCGGCATTACAATAGGCCTACTCTTTTTTTCCAGGAAATTGGTTCCAAGTTATATAATATAATAACGGGAATTCCCCCTACAGGACAACCAAAAGGCGTGAACCGTTTTCTTGTAAGGTCGATAGGAGCGTCGCGTTACCCTTGATCTTCAGATAAGGGTTCCAGATCAGGGAGGTAATGGACATTCTGGAGGTCAAGTGCAGACTCTTGACAGATAAAAATTCCTGAGGCCGAGACAGAGATTTCATCCGGCTTCCCAGACATATAGTATATAGTACGAGTACGAACAAGATCTGTCGTTCGTTTTTAAATTTAACATTTCGGAATTTTTACGCAGACTGAGGGTCGACTGTATCTTGATAACCTATTATTTGTCTGTAGCACACATAGCCTATATCTAATCCAACTTCATTTTCAAATAAAAGTTATGCTACCCGAAGCTGCTGTCACTAGCTGCGCCATCCACCATCACAGACTCACTTATTGTATTGTCTTTTGAAGTATGCCTACTATGACATACACGTAAAACACTTCATTCAGTTCGTTTTCACTTTGTTCTCAACTGACCCTAAAATCAACTAATCTCTACAGAGACGTCCCTCCCCCCCCCGCTCCAGTCTCCTCTGAGCTCTTCTCCCCTCTACTCTTGACTCTTTCTACTGTTCCCCTGGTTCTTTTTTACTGATGTCATTCAGCCACACCCCTAATCTTAGGGGAGGTACACCTAGCTTTCTCGGTTAAGGGCGAAAAATCTTAGAGATCCTGTGTGCACGTTAAAGAAACCTTGGTGGTTCTTAAATCAATAAGAGGAGGCTTATGCCTGTCCTCGTCGTTTTATGCAAAAAAAATTCTGAAATTACGCAAAATGAGCCCAAAAATATGAAATTATGCGATTCTGTTAATTTTAATAAAGAATGATAAGGGAAGATAATCAGAAATTATGCAAAAAAATGATCAAATTTTGCTAAATTATGCGGGGTGCATAAAACCACGGGGACAGTTATGCCGCCAACAGGACGAAATTGAAGAATCCTACCAAAACCGAAAATACTAAAGTGAGTTTGAACACATATAGAGTACCGTACCTTCGAAATTGGAATGTGGCTGCCTGATGGCAAGGGGCCCTTCGAAGTTGGAAAA